ATTAATTAGGGGTGAATCCGTTCATTAATCCATTGGGAACATGAGGAATTCCCGGCATTCCGTGGTTCCAGTCACTTCCCGGCATTCCCAGTGCTCCCAGTGCCCAACTGGGATCAAAGATCCAACGTTGGGATTGGTCCCAACTCGTTCCCGTGGTTAATTAACAATCTCTAATTAATTAATTAGGGGTGAATCCGTTCATTAATCCATTGGGAACATGAGGAATTCCCGGCATTCCGTGGTTCCAGTCACTTCCCGGCATTCCCAGTGCTCCCAGTGCCCAACTGGGATTGCCCAACCCAACACTGGGGGCTCTTCCCAACCCTCCAAAAATTCTTAAATTTGGGGAAAAAAACCCCAAAAAAATTTGGGAAAACCCAGCGGAAATTTGGGAAAAACACTGAAATCTGGGAAACCAACCCAAAATTGGGAAAAAAAATTTCAAAATTACAAGAAAAAAACCTGGAAAGTTGGGAAAAAAAACCTTCATAATTCCAGAAAAAGCCTCGGAATTTGGGGAAAAAAACCTCAAAGTTTGGGGAAAAAAATCGGGAAAATTTGTGGGAAAATTAGAATTTAGGGGAAAATATAAAAATTTGGGAAAAAAATCCCAAGTTTGGGTCCTGAACGCCACCAAATGTGAGTTTAGGAGGAAAAACTGGATTTTCCTTTGGATTTTCCAGGTTTTTCCCAAAAAACGGGAGCGAACTTGAACTTTTTTTAACTTTTTTTTTTGTTGTTGTTTTTTTTTTTTTTAAGGAAAGAATGGAATTTTTTTGGGTTTTTTGTTACTTTTGTGACTTTGCATTTTCTGTGTCGGGTCAATAAAAATCCGACTTGGGCTGAAAATGCCAAAAATTGGGATTTTCCATTGTTTTTTCTCCCCCAAAAAATTTTAGGGATTGAATTCCCAAAAAATTGGGAATTTCCGTCATTTTCCTCCCCTCGTTCTGACCACAGGAAACTCTCAATAAAGACACGACACCCCTTAATTAATTCAACTGATGAATTTCATTAATTAAAAACATTAAATACCCCCCCCCGAATTTAATGAAAAACAATCTTTCGGAGGTAATTAATAAATATTTAATAAATACTCACAAATAAATAATAAATAACAAATAAATAGCAAAGACATATTAATAAATAAATAATTAATTATTAAATAATTAATTGGTAAACTCAGCACCCACCGGCGCTGAAGCTGAGGTAGAGGTGACGTCGTTAATTAAGCCTCGTTAACGAGGCCGCCCTGACCACGCCCCTTCCCAGTGCTCCCAGTGCCAAACTGGGATCGACCAACTTCCAAATCCCAACGCTGGGTTTGTTCCCGCCTCAACTGGGGGCTAATTAATGAGTCGGTCATTAATTAAGAGGGTAATTAGCCAGCTAATTAATGAAGGGATGGGAAAATTCATGGCTCCACCCCCTTCCCAGTGCTCCCAGTGCCAAACTGGGATGGCTCGGCTTCCCAATCCCGACGTCGGTGTCTCCTTCCGACCCGGAGCTCTTCGACCTTAATTAATTAAGGTTAATTAAGCCAGGATGAGGGGGTGGTGCCAGTCCTGGGTGCCACCGGGGGGTGACAAAGGAGGTGACACCCACAGAGAGGGGCAGGAGCCACCCACGGGCGCCACCGGCGTTGTCCCGTTGGATATCCCGGCGTTCCCGGCAGGAATTTGGGGCTCCTCTGGAATCGGGGGGGTCCTGGGTGTCCCCAAAGGGGTCTCGGTGACATCGGTGACGCCGACGTCCCCCGGCGCGTTGTAGATTTGGGTGCCCACCACGGCCAAGAGCAGCACCAGGAGTCGTTTGGCAGCGCTGGGTTCTTCGGAGGGGAGGGGGCGACGCACCTGAAGGGGTTAAAAAAAGCCAAAACATAAAAGGGGAGGGGTCAGGGCTCAGCTGGATGAGGGAATTCCTGGGAATTCTGGAAAAATTCCCGATGGGAAAAGTGGTCTGAGGTGGGATTAGAGGATGGGTTAAGGCGGGTTGGGGAACCCATCCGAGGGGTGACCCTGCCTGATCCTGCTTAGCTTCCCAAACGGGTTGGAGGAATTAACCCCCCCTGGGGCAGAAAATTCCCATTTTTGGGTAAATAATTCACATTCTGGGATAAAATTTCCTCTGGTTTCGGGTAAATAAATCCCCAATCAGGGGATTTTTGGGGAAAAAAGTTCCCTTTTTGGGTAAATATTCCCTAGTTGGGTTGGGGAACCCATCCGAGGGGTGACCCTGCCTGATCCTGCTTAGCTTCCCAAACGGGTTGGAGGAATTAACCCCCCCTGGGGCAGAAAATTCCCATTTTTGGGTAAATAATTCACATTCTTGGATAAAATTCCCTCTGGTTTTGGATAAATAAATCCCAATCAGGGGATTTTTGGGGAAAAAAGTTCCCTTTTTGGGGTAAATTGTCCCCTAGTCGGGTTGGGGAACCCATCCGAGGGGTGATCCTCCCCAATCCTGCTTAGCTTCCCAAACGGGTTGGGGAATTTAACCTCCCTTTGGGTAAAAAATTGCCATTTTTGGGTAAATAATTCCCGTTCTGGGATAGAATTCCCTGGTTTTGGGTAAATAAATCCCATCCTGGAGCAAAAATCTCCGAGGGGAGGGCCCCAAATCCAACCCCGAGGGCTCCAGGAAAGGCTGAGTCAGAGCGGAGGGGGTGGAAGTGACTCAGTCTCCCCCACACCTCCGGGAAATGAGGCTAATTAAGGATTCCGGCCGTGGAATTCCGGGAATTTGGGATTTGGGAAGGATTTAGGGGGATCCAGAGAAGGTTTGGGGCGTATCTGGGGCTTACAGAGGGGTGTACGGGAGGTTACCGGGGGATTTGAGGGCATTTGGGGTGAGTTTAGGGGGGATTTAGGGCGAGTTTGGGAAGTTTGGGACGAATTTAGGGACGTTTAGGGCGAGTTTGGGAAGTTTGGGACGAATTTAGGGACGTTTAGGGCGAGTTTGGGAAATTTAGACCGAATTTAGGGAAGTTTAGGGCGAGTTTGGGAACTTTAGATCGAATTTAAGGACGTTTAGAGCGAGTTTGGAGCAGTTCAGGAGGAATTTGGAGTTTAGGGCGAGTTTAGAGGGGTTTAGGACAAATTCGGGCAAGTTTGGGGCGAATTTGCAGGAGATTTAGGGCAAAATTAGGGCTTTTAGGGCCATTTGGAGGAGAATCTGGGCGAGTTTGGGAAGTTTAGGGCGAATTTGGGGGAAGTTTGGGACAAATTTTCCAAGTTTTGGTCGTATTTAAGCGAGTTCAGGGGGGTTTAGGGAACTTCTGAGTTCTATAGGGGACGTAAAAGATTTAAGGTGACCCAAACGACCCCAAAAGCTGCAAATTCAAGGTGAAACCCCCCCAAAAAAAAAAAACAAACTAAAAATCCCTTTCCATACTCACAGCGGGCGGATAAAGAACGCGGCGATGCCGTCGCCGAGGCCTGGAAGGGCCGGGGCGAGCCGGGAGGGGTTCGAAGGTGAAGTGACGAGGTGGGGACGGTGCCACCCCTTTGGGGACACCCTCGGGATGTCCCCAAAACCTCCCCGGACACGCGGCCGTGGCCGCAGCCGCCGCCACCATCGACATCGTCACAGGAAACGCCGGGATTCGAACCCGCGGCCTCGGGGTTATAAAGGGAGGAGGAAGCCACGCCCACGCAGCGATTTGATTGGTGGATGGGACGTGGTTTATTGAGGAGGCCACGCCCGCTCGGGGCGGGGATTTGGGGGAAATTCCCGAATTCTGAGTCACGGGCGGGAATTTTGCGTCATTGCCGTAAAAAAAATAATGATTAAAAAAATCGGGATGGGCGGGGGAAAAAACCGGGAATTTTTCTGGAGGGGGAAGGGGATTTTAGGGGGAAAAAAGGAAATTTCGGGGGGAAAAAGGGAGTTTCTTGGGGGGAAAAGCCGGGAATTTTTTTGGGGAAAAGGGAATTTTTTTGGGGAAAAAAGGGAATTATTTTGGGGGGAAAAGAGGGAATTTTTTGAAGGGAAAAGGGAATTTTTGGAGGGGGAAAAAGGGAATTTTGGAGGGGGAAAAAGGGATATTTTGGGGGGAAAAGAGGGAATTTTTTTGGGGAAAAAAGGGAATTTTGGAGGGGGAAAAGAGGGAAATTTGGAGGGAAAATTGGGAATTTTGAGGGAGGGGAAGGAGGAGCTCCCAGTATTCCCAGTAATGAAGGAATTCATTTCAAATCGATTTAAATCTGAATTTTTATTAAAATTTCATTAAAGGCCTCGAAAACGAGGGAATTTTATTGAAATTAAAGCTCAAAAAATATTCCCTTAAAAAGCAAAAGAAAAAAACCAAAAAAATTCCCAAAAATTCCCTTAAAAAAGCTCCAAAAATCCCTAAAAAAATCTCCCCCAAAATTCCCGGGATTTTCCCGTTTTGGCTCCGTTTTCTTCCTCCCTGGATTTTGTCCCTCGGTGGCCTCGACCTGGGAGTGGATGAGAGAGACCCCAAAATTCCCGAAATTCATTCCAAAATTCCCGAAATTCTCCTCAAAATCCTTCAAATTCCACCCCAAAAACCTCAAACCCCTGAAAATTTCCCAAAATCCCTCAAAATCTCCCCAAAATTTCACCCCAAATCCACCAAAAATCCCTGGAATTCCACCCAAAAATCTCAGAATTTCCCTGGATCCTAAATCCCAAGACTTCATCCCAAAATCCCCCAAATTCCCAAGATTTCATCCCAAAATCCCAGGATTTTCCCTCCCCAAATCCTCATTTCCATCAGGAATTTCCAAATTCCCGGATTTTCCCGACCCTGTTCCCTCTGTCGGGTGCCGTTCCCAGGTTCGTTCCCGTCGGAATTCCGGGAATTCCCCAAATTTCGGGATTTGGTCCCAATTTTCTGCCTCCGGTTCTTACGTGGGGGGGCCACGAGAGACCCTCACGCCTTTGTGGGAGGAATTCCCGAAAAAATTCCGGGAATTTTGGGCTCCAGGTGGTTTTCTCCCAAATTTCCAGGGGTTTTTTTCCCTAAATCCTGGAATTTTTTCCCCAAATTCCAGGGATTTTTCCCACAATTCCAGCTGGTTTTTTCCCACCTTACCTGAGCTCTGATCCGGAGCCTTCGTCCACAGGGATTTTCCATAGGGGATTGGGATTTTCCATAGGGGATTTGGGGGCATTTGAAGGGAATTTGGGATTTTCCACAGGGGATTTGGGATTTTCCATAGGGGATTTAGGATCTTCTATAGGAGATTCACGAGCTCCTGTCCCCTGTGTAGGGTTCCCTGTAGGATTCCCTATAGGATGAGTCCCCTACGGGATCATTCCCCTATAGAATGTGTAGGGTTCCCTTATCGGATTCCCCTATAGGATCATTCCCCTATAGAATGTGCAGGGTTCCCCTATAGAATCATTCCCCTATGGGATCATTCCCCTATAGAATGTGTAAGGTTCCCTTATCGGATTCCCCTATAGGATCATTCCCCTATAGAATGTGCAGGGTTCCCCTATAGAATCATTCCCCTATAGAATCATTCCCCTATAGAATGTGCAGGGTTCCCCTATCAGATCATTCCCCTATAGAATGTGCAGGGTTCCCCTATAAGACCATTCCGCTACAGAATGTGTAGGGTTCCCCTACAGGACCAGTCCCCTATAGGGTGAGTCCCCTATAGGATGAGTCCCCTATAGGGTGTGTAGGGGTCGGCGTGTGCCGGGGCTGTGTCCGGCTGCCCCGGCCGTAGGTGACCCCGGCCTTGCTGTGCCCTATAGGAGCCCTATAGGGGGCGGCGCACGGGACAGCGCCCCCCGCCGGGCTGCAGGGCCCTATGGATCCCCTATGGATCCCCTATAGAATCCCTTAGGGATCCCCTATGGATCACCCACAAATCCCCTATGGAATCCCCTTATGGATCCCCTATAGATCCCCCATGAAACCCCAATAGATCCCCCATGGGGTCCCTATGGAATCCCCTTATCGATCCCCCATGGAATCCCCTATAGATCCCCCCATGGAATCCCCTATAGATCCCCCCATGGATCCCCTACAGAATCCCTCCCCCCCCCCAAAAAAGAAGCCCAGGGAGGGGCTGGGTGGCACCAACAGAGCCCCTATAGAACCCCCAATGTCCCCTATAGGACCCCAAACCCCCCCTTGCAGAGCCCCTACAGAACCCCCAATGTCCCCTATAGGACCCCAACCCCCCCCCATAGAGCCCCCAGCCCTACA